CTCCTCGCCTCGTCGGCTTCCCGACGCTCCAAGACGGCCCAAGAAGCCCCCCGACCGCTCCAAGACGGCCGAAGAGGACCCCAAGAGAGCCCCAAGACGGGCCAGGAGGGCCCCCAGACGGTCCCAAGACGCCCCAGGACGGCCCCCGGACGGCCCAGGAGGCGCCCAAGACGGCCCAAGAGGCACCCAAGACGACCCCAGGAGCGGCCCAAGACGGCCCACGACAGCCCAAGAGGCGCCGAGGCGGGTCTCAGACGGCCCCAAGACGGCCCAAGAGGCACCCAAGACGGCCCGAGAGGGCCCTAAGAGCCCCCCCGGGAGGCCCAAACGAAGGCCGAAGAGGCTCCGAAACGGCCCCCACGAAGCCTTCAGTGCCTTCAGAATTCCCTCCAGGAGCGGGGGAGCGGACGAGAGGCGACAGGCATATCGCAGGCAAAAACGCCCCAAGAGATCCCCAAACGGCCCCCACGAAGCCCTAAGTGGCCTCAGAATTGCTTCCAGGAGGGGGGGAGCGGACGAGAGGCGACCGGCATATCGAAGGCACAAAAGAACAATGTTGGACGCTCCGAGGGCCTTCGATGTTTCTCCGTTGGGGAGAGTCGTCGTAGGATCGACGATTGCCGACCGAGGGCAGCGAATCCAGTGGAGGCCCAAGAGGCCCCCAGGAGCCCAAAAGAGATCCCCAAGAGGTGCCACGGGGCTTAAAAACTGCTTCGAAGCGAGGGGGGCGGACGAGGGGACCGCCTCAGGAGGTTTTGGACGGTTTTGGGCCTCAAAATCGTCCGCTTTACGACGGTTTTGGAAGGATTTTGGCCTTCTCGCCTTTTCCGCTTTCCGACGCTCGAAGACGGCCCAAGAGGCCTCCAAGAGCGCCCCAGAACGGCCCAAGAGGTTTCCAAGAGCGCCCCAAGACAGCCCAAGAGGGCCCCAAGACGACCCAAGAGACGCTCAAGACGGCCCACGAGGGCCCGAAGACAGGCCCAAGAGGGGGCCAAGAGGGGGACCACGGACCGAAAATCCGAGCCTTCCGCCCCAAGAGGGCGCCAGGAGGCCCAAACAGGCCCCCAAGAGGCCCCAAGGGGCCGCCAAGAATCCCCCGAAGAGGCCCCAGGAGGCTCCCAAGGAGCCCAAACGAGGCCCCTACAGAGGCCCCAACAGCTTCCAAAATGGCCCCGAAGAGGCCTCGAGCCCGCCTCCGAGCTTCCTCGCCGCGAGGGTGCCAACACGGCCCCAGACCGGCCCAGGACGGCCCAAGGCGCGCTCAAGACGGCCCAAGACGATTCCAAGACGGTCCCAGGAGGGTGCGCCCAGGACGGCCCAAGGACGCGCCCGTTCGGGGCCTCAAGACGGGCCAAGATGGCAAGAGAGTCCCAGCTGGCAAAAATCGTTAATTTTCCATTGTTTACTGTACACCCTTTGCGTTTCCCGCCGTTTCGGCGGTCCGATGCACCAAGAGGCCCCAGAAAGTCCCAGGAGGGTCCGAGGAACCGCCCAGGAAGGCCCCAAGACGGGCCAAGACGGACCCAGCACAACCCAAGGCGCGCTGCGACGGCTCAAGACGGCTCCAAGACAGCCCCAAGAGGGTGCCAACACGGCCCCTGCTGGGCCCAGGACGGCCCAAGGAGGCGCACAGGAGGGGCCCAAGACGACTCCAAGGCGGCCTCCTCACGGTCCCAGACGGCTCCAAGACAGCCCCACGAGGACCCCGATGGGCCCAGGACGGCCTACGGACGCGCCCATGAGGGGCCCACGACGAACCAAGACGGCCCCATCAGGGCAAACGGCGCCCTCAAGACGGGCCTAGACGGCTCCAAGACGGCCCTTTGAGGGAGCCAACGCGGCCCCACACCCTTCGGGCGCACACTTGGGGGGGCTGGGAGCTTGCGACAAGTCTCCCACATTCATTGTCCTGCCCCATTCTGTTCGCCTGGAGGCCTCCTCCAACCCTGTGGGCGAACAAGAGGAATCCCAGCGGGACGCCAACCCTGGGGCCCGTGGGCCCCGCGCCGCTTGGGCAGAAGACGAACGCCGGGTCTGACAGGCCAGCTACCGCCCCCCTTTGCCCGATATGCTGTGCCATTCTGTTCCCCCAGGGGCCTTGGCAAACTCTTCGGGCCAAGCAGACCGGACCCCTGGGACAGCAGCCAATTGATATGACCCTGGGACCTCTCCGCATTCTTCGGACGAGCATCTGGGGGGCCCAGGAGATTCGGACATGTCTTCCCCATTCCTTGCCCTGTCCCGTTCTGTTCGCCCGAAGGCCTCCACAGACCCTCTGGGCGAACAGAATGGGACATGGCGAACAAACCCTCCCGTTGGCGGTGATGCGACTGGATCGCACCATCAAGGCGCGCCCGGAGGTGATGGCCGACCCAACAGCGGTTTCTCTTAAGAGTTCACTGGATTTCAAATTTTCTTGAAGCTCTCTTGGGCCCTCCCTGTAGATCCTTGCGAGCCTCCCCGGCGCTTTCGGTGGCTTTCCCCGATGGCCTCCCGAGCCCTTCCCCGAGCGCTCCTGAGACGCCTCAGATGGGCTTCGACTTCGACGCACATCCCCGAGAGACTTCGAAACTGTCCTCAATAGGAGGGGGGTGAACGAGCAGTGCGCTGGGCCAAGCTGCTGCAGCGCTGCAAGAGCTCGGACACGAAGGCGCGGTCTCGCTGCCGCCGCCCGAGCCGCCGCCGTGTTTCTAGATTTTCGGTACAATCTGCGCCGTTCCTCCGAGAACCATTCCAGAAAGATGTCGTGGACGGAGTCCACGGGTCAGCCCTAGTCAGCTACAGCGCTGGGATCAGCGCGTGCGAGAAGGGCGGGCAGTGGCAGCGGGCGCTGACGTTGTTGAGCGAGATTTGGGAGGCGAAGCTGGAGGCCAACGTCATCAGCTACAGCGCTGGGATCAGCGCGTGCGAGAAGGGCGATCAGTGGCAGCTGGCGCTGGCGTTGTTGAGCGAGATGTGTGAGACGAAGCTGGAGCCCGACGTCATCAGCTACAACGCTGGGATCAGCTCTTGCAATAGTGGCGAGCAGTGGCAGCTGGCGCTGGCGTTGTTGAGCGAGATGCGGGAGGCGAATCTGGAGCCCGACGCCATCTCTCCTACATGGCTGGCAGAAGCGCGCTCCGGAAGAAAAAAAACAAATCGGGCCCGCACGTGCGGGAAAGGCGAGCGACGGGGAAAGCGCAGTCGGCGCCCTGGCGTCCCCTGCGAGCACAGGAGTGCCCCCAGACGGCTCCAAGACGGCCCCCAGACGCTCAAGAGGCCGCCCCGACTGCCCAAAGACAGTTCCGAGCCGCTCAAGAGGTCGCCTCGACGGCCCCAGAAGCCCCCAAAGCATGCCAGGAGGCTCCCAAGACGGCCTTGGAGGACCTCTCAGGAGAGCCCCAAGAGGCCAAAAAAAACTGTCCCATTCCCTCCAGAAAACATATATTTTGTGCATTCTCGTGCTTTCCGACGCGTCCACGACGGCCATGGAGGCCCCCAAGATCGCCCTAAGATGCCCCCGTGAGGGCCCCAAGACGGCCCAAGACGACCCCAGGACGGCCCAAGAGGAGCCCAAGACGGCCCAAGAGGTGCCCAAGACGACCAGAGCTCCCAGAACGCTTCACAACGGCCCCACCACGGCTCTTGAGGCGCCCATGGTTGCCCAAGAGACGGCCCAAGGGCCTCAAGCGGCCCCAAAGCGCTTCAAATCGGCCCCAGCACGGCTCCTGAGGCGACCCTGGCGGCCTACGGGGTACCCAAGACAGTCTCAAGAGCGGCCCAGGACAGCCCAAGACGACCCCCAGACGGTCCCCAGACAGCCCTGGACGGCCTCCACACGGCCACCACACGGCCCACGAGGCACCCGAGACAGCCCAAGTGGGCCCAAGGAGGCTTCCAGGAGGCCGAAAAGAAGCACTGAGAGGCTCCTAAACGAGCCCCAGAGGCCCCAAGATCACGGCCCAAAGAACACCGAAGACAGCACCAACAGCAGCCAAAGACGGCCTGAAACGGCCCGAAAACGGTCCCAAAACGGCTCCCAGCGCACCATGGGCCGGTCGCAAAACCTAGCCGATTCTGCTGGGCCGGCTGGCCGGTGGCCCAGAATCGGTCAGGGCCACCCCAGAGGCGCCCGCGCCGCGCCGGGACGCGACGGGCAGATTTCAGGGCTGGCGGCGCGGTGGCCCAGAAACGGCCAGCCGATTCTGGGCTAGAAGGCTGGTGGCCCAGAATCGCCCCGGCCGACCCTGGAAGCGCGCGCGGCCGCCCAGGGCGCGCCGGGCGGGATTCTTGGCTGGTGGCGCGGCGGCCCAGACTTGGTCCCGCCGATTCTGGGCTGGCGGGCCCGCGGCCCAGAAGCGTCCTGGCCGACCCCGGAGGCGCGCGCGGCGGCCCGGGGGCGCGCCGGGCGGACCCCGGAGGCGCGCGCGGCTGCCCGGGGGCGCGCCGGGCGGGATTTTGGGCCAGCGGCGTGGCGGCCCAGAGTCGGCCCCGCCGATTGTGGGTTGGTTTGGGGCTGGGTGGCTCCAGAGGCGCGCGTGGCTCTGGGAGCGAGGGGCGGTACTGGGACGGCGGGCCCAGGGGCGCCCAGAATCGGCGCCGCCGAGCGGGCCGGCCGGCCGGTGGCCCTGAATCGGGCCAGCCTGGCTTTGCAGCCCGTGGTCGCCGCCGCCGCCGCTGCCGCTGTCGTCGTCGTCGTCGTCGTCGTCGTCGTCGTCGTCGTCGTCGTCGTCGTCGTCGTCGTCGTCGTCGTCGTCGTCGTCGCTGTCGTCGTCGTCGTCGTCGTCGTCGTCGTCGTCGTCGCTGTCGTCGTCGTCGTCGTCGCCGCCGCCGCCGCCGCCGTCGTTGGGGGCTCGTTGGGGGCTCGATGGGAATTTCCAGACGGGCGAGCAGCGCTACCTGGCGCCCCCGCAGCTCAGCGATATGTGACAGGCAAACACGACGCCATTCATCCTGCTCGCCTTGCGGCAGCACCCCTTCACCCCGCAAGTGGACGCAGTCCACGGGCCAACCCTGGTCAGCTACAGCGCTGGGACCAGCGCGTGTGGGAAGGGCGGGCAGTGGCAGCCGGCGCTGGCGTTGTTGAACGAGATGCGGGAGGCGACGCTGGAGCCCAACGCCATCTCACCTACAACGCCCCCAAGGGCCCTGGAAGTTGGCCCTGGAAGTTCGTTGCTCCATACCCTATACACATGAGGAGTAACGAACGTGTGGAGCGTAGCTCCACACCATCTGAGGACCGTAGGCCCTCAGATGAATCAACTAATGCTCCACACATTACATGCCACCAGACATTTCAACAGTTGGGATGGATGTCGACATCCATCCCATAGGGCCGCTCCGGGCAGGCCCCTGGGACCCCGGGCCGCTCTGGGCGGCCAGCGGGGCCGCCGCGGTGCCCCGCGATCGCGCAGCGGATCGTCCCATACTGCTGTCGAAGGTCGCGGCGGCACGCCCCGCAGACGGGTCCAGGGCAGCACCGGGCGCCCCCAGGCCGCCCGAAGAGGCTCCCAAGAGGACCCCCAGAGCGCAAACATCTGCTCATTCCTTGGTGAACACGTGCATGTTTGGCATGCTCGCTGTCTGGGTCGGCACAGCTTCCAGATGGCCGAAGCGGCCCCCCCAAACCGCCCCGACACGGCCCAAAATGCCCCCGAAAGGACTCCAAGACGGGCCAAGAGAGCCCCAAGACGGCCCCGGAGAGCCCCCAGACGGGCCCAAGAGTGACCCCAGCGCGCCCCAAGAGGCTCCCAAGAGGGCCCCGAGAAGGCCACAGGAAGCCCCCAAGAGAGCCCAAGAAGGCTCCAAGGGGGCCCCGAGACGGGCCGAGCCCTGCCAGACGGCCCAAGAGGCCCCCAGGGTGGCCCAAGTGAGCCCTCAGACGGCCCAAAAGAGCCCCATAAGGACCCCTCAAGAGCGTCCCAAGAGAGCTCCAAGTGGGCCACGGGATACGCCGCCAAGCGCTCTACACGGATGGCGCTCTACACGGAGACGCCGTAGGGCACGCTCCTCCGCGAGGACGTCGCGACGTGCACCCGCGAGGACGTCGCGACGCGCACGTCAGGCGGCGCCCTGCCGAAGGCGCGCTGCCGGGCCGCCGCCCGCCGCTGAGGAGGAGGACGAGGACGAGGGCGAGGAGGAGGAGGGGGAGGGGGAGGAGAAGAGACCCCAAAAAGCGCCCCCAGAAAAGTCTTGGATTCTCTGGGGACGCGCATGGGGCTTATTTTGGCCGCGGGATCGCCATTATGTTCAGGCGCTGCTGACATCGTCGATTTCCCCATCCCTCCTCATCCTGCGCGCCTCCCCTGACCTCGCACAGTTCGGGATCCAGGCGCGCCTCCACCCCTCTCCGCCTGCTCCTCGCTTTCTCCTTCCCCTCGCCTTCCTCTGCTCGCCTTCGCTGGCTCTCCCCGGCCCCCGCGGCCGACCGGGGATGACAGAGGGGGCCTTCGCTGAACCAGAGCAGGGCGCCGGGAACTGTCTCCCCTCCTTCCGCTGCTCGCCTTCCTCCTGCCCCCCTCTCAGCTACTGCTCGCCCGCCCTTCCACCTGCCAGCCCCCCTCCGCCGAGTAGTAGTGACAGGGGGGGGAGGGGCCCGCGCCCACGCGCAGCAGGACCGACCCAGCGAGACCCCAGAACGCCACCCCCCGTGCGCTTCGGCCCCGCCAACATCACACCCCGCTTGGCATCGCTCGGACGTGTGCATTTTTTCCTCGGTGGGGACCATCGAGGGGCATCCTTGGTCATTTGGCGCAAAAGCCACGCACGAAGCCGAAAAAAGCACAGGGAATGGACGTGCGAGCGATGGCGAGCCCGACGCCCCCCTGGCTGGCCACCGGCCTCCAGGGCGCCCAGTATATTGCCTCGCGGCGGGGCGGGCGGGGCCCGCGATAGCGCGACCCGAGGCGGCGCGCGGGCGCCCCCGCACTTTCCCCAGACTTTTCGGGGGGCGCCTCCCCCAGCACTGCCGGCTTTTGCATTCGCCCACTTGCCGCGGCTAGCTTCTGCACGCACGAAATGGGTACTGAAAGAATGGGTACAATGCCCAACAGCGGACCTTGTTCATTTTGAACAGGGCTCGCTGTCCACGCCGCCGCGGCCTGTGTCCATTCGAGACAGGGGGCCGCCTGCCCAACAGCGGCCGCTGTTGGTTTGGGACAACATTTGCTGTTGGGCATTGTACCCATTCTTTCGGTACCCATTTCGGGCGTCCAAATAGCTGGACGGAGCCCTCCGCCCCATGCTGCTCAGGAGGGAAGAAAACACACAGACACAATGAATCGTCGACCCCCAGGAAAAGATGGGAAAATATGGCAGGAGGGGGGGGAGACAAAAACCCAGACAATATGGGGAATCTTTTTATTTGTGTGTAGTTATTTGTGTGTCCCAGGGCCCCTTCAACTCGAGCTGGCCCTGGCCGGCCTTCTCCGAGTTTCCCAGACTTTTTTTCTGGGGGGCGCCTCCCCCAGCATTGCCGGCTGTCGAACTCGCCCACTTGCGATGTAGCATGCGTCTTGCGAGCGGCGAGCCATCGACGCGGGGGAGCGCCGTGGTCAGAATCAGGCCTAAATCCGGTCAAAATCCATGGCATGTTCGGGCGTTACTGGCGTCAAAGAGGCTCCCATGAAGGACCATCTGATATCTGGACAGTGCCCTCCGCCCCATGCTGCTCGAGCCGGCCCTGGCTGGCCTCCTCCGAGTTAGTCCACTTGCTGCGGCCACCTGGCCAGAAGGCTCGGCCTCGGGCTCACCCCTCCGGCCCTTGGGCGGCCCCCTTCCTCGAGGGATGTCCCCCCGCGATCGTCCGTGTCGGGCCTGGCGGGGCCCGCGAAGCGTAGAGATGGAGCCAGTTGGCGCCCCCGCATTTTGCCATATTTTTCTGGGGGCGCCTTCTCCCGAGATCCCGGCCTGCGGCCTCCTCGACTTGCTGCGGCTGCCGTCCTGCCGCGAGGCCTCCCGGGCCCTCTCGGGCCCAGAGCAAGCCACGGAGGAGGAGGAGGAGGAGGAGGAGGAGGAG